TCAGGTGGGAATTCCAAAGAAACAACTTGAATGTTTTCCAGTCCATAGGCCGGCTACAAGTCGCAGTTTTTTTTTTTCGATAATAAAAAAAATGAGAAATGGCGTACATATATAATAGTGCAGTGTTGGTGGGTATCACGTTCATTCCATTATCCCCCCCTTTTTTGCTATTTTCAAGGATTGTTTTTTTTTCATATTTTTACCCCCCAAGAAACTTGTAAGGAAGTCTAGGTTTTCCAAACAAAATACCCCTTCGTGGTTTCACGTCATGCAAAATACATCCAATTCTCTGAGAAATTCAGAAGGAACATGATTATTCCCTGAGACAGCCAAGCCCCCCCGGGCCCACGACTACTACTATTGTTCTTCTCATCGAATGGCATCATAGTGACATTGACTGGAGCCATAACGTTGGGGGCCATGGCACTAGACGGCTGGATGCCACTGTGATGTCACTCGACTGTGGTACTTTCAGAAGGAAAGCTACCCGACCTTCAATCTTTCGTGTGTTTTTTTTTTTTTTTTGTATTTTTAGCTAAAGTAATGATTGTTGATCTTCCGTGCCCCCCCCCCCCCCCATGTATCATCTTGCTAATAATGCATGTGGGCATGGATATCAATACGTTATATAAATGCGATCTGAAGAAAACATTAAAAAAGATGAACCACCGAAGTTAAATAAAACTATTAGTTGTCTGAGGTTAAAGAGCGGTGGTTGTCGGGCCGCGCAGCGTTCCACGGGACTAATGGCGACGTATACAACGCGTGTAAAATACATTTTTTATTTACATGAAATTCGAACACGCGCTGCGCGAAGACCACCGCCCTTTATTGGCTTGGATTTCAATTTAGCAGAAATGAAGTTTTTAAATTTAAACAATCATTTGTGGAAACTGTTTTCAATAAGGTATATTTTACATACTATGCACGTCTTAGATACGTAGCGAGTTAGTCAGACTCGTTCACATGAAAACGGGAATCCTAATTTTTTAATTCGCTTGGAGCGAAAACTATGACAACTGTGTAAACAAATAAACAGGATATGCTAAAGAAATACCAAGGCTCTGGGTGATATCAAAATGGCGTGTCACAATTATTTTGAGAGGTTATAATGAAATTGATTTCTCTGAACGATTCACAAAACATCATTTCTTTGTAATTTTCCCACCCAGCCAGCAGCGTCCTTGTCCTGCCCAGTCAACACAACAATGGAACTCACATCAACTATTTTAAATACAAAACTAAAATTCCAGAAAAAATTGTGTTTAATGAACGTCTTAGTACTGGTCTTGTGATTTGACTAGTAACTCGCGGAGAGTTTAAAGCGGGGGAGTCGTCACCTGCGCATGCGTCAGATGGCCATAGCGTGTCATTGTTTACAAACAAGCGTCTACCCGTGTGCCTTTGCGTTTATAGCGTGTGTTGTTATCGTCGCTTGGGACCCTCCCGCTTTAAAGTACTACGAATTTTTGATATTTTTCTGAGCGGAAAGCTTCGTTGAATGAATAACATAGTGCAACTAAACAGAGATGGTTCCCAGACTTGTTTCCATGGAGACAAATGATTTTGTGGTTTCCCCCACAGCGTTACATGTATATGGTCGCCAAATGAGACAATACACCCAGAAAAACGAACGAAGAAGCTATCCGTGACGTAAAGGGAATATATGGCGCTATTTACCAAGCGTTGGCGCGCCTTATTTTTGTTTGACGTAGTAAGTGTGGAGAAACCACAGTCAGCTGGCGTACACGTGATAATAAAATAAATACGATATTTACTATATGGGGGCCGCCACCTTGAATGACGCATACAAATAAATAAGAGACAAGTTGTGAATGTGACTGGCTTATATCCCAGGAAGTAGACATTGGAATATGTCTACTGGAATCTGATTGGCTAACATTTCAGGGGATAAACATCGTAATATATCTTACTGAATTTGATTGGTTTACCTCCCAGGAAGTAGAAACTGGAATATGTTTTCCTGAATCTGATTGGCTAACACCTAGCAGGTAACATTATACAAATGTCCATTCTAGCAGAGGTGAACAGTTTCAGCTAAATCTGATTGGTTGTCATGCACATAGGGTATGATAACATGAAATATAAATATATCAATGTGTCACGTGGTATGTATGGGTCATTCACAATGTACGTGTATCATCAATAGTTTTTGACATATCACCCGTGTAATAAACCTTTCTTATCAGAAGCGCCCCCTGGTGGCAGTGCTTCTGTGCCGTCAACGGGCTGCAGGTACCCTGTACTTCGCCGACACAATTGAATACACTGTTGTTTATATGCGTCAAAACGAATTCGAATTATTGTATAGGTATAATTATTTTTTTAGATATCGTTATGTGCGATAAACACTACAGATTAGTATTAGTTGCGCCAGATAAGTATTACATTTTTGCCTTCCAATTACGCACTCAACGATATTATCAGGAACATGCGATTGACTCCACAGAGCTTTAAACATAACATCGATGCAATCTGATTATATGCGTTCGGGCCATATTGAACATGATTTCATTATTGTAGGTTCATGCCATTGAAATACCGAAATAAAAAAACAAAACAAAAAACAACAACTTAAAACGAGATCTAGGTTTGTTTATGGTTTTTAACTATATTTTTATTTATTATTCTTTCACATAGTTTACGTATTCAATTATTATGTATGCACATATTTCAGTTATTTTTATTATTTAATAACGAGAATTCAAATAATGTATATGATAACAAATAATTAGGTTGAAAAATAAAGGCTATATTGTTTATGCCTCTCAAATGTCAATTTTAATAACGAATAAAGTGCTCACATTGCCATAGATATTACATAACAATAACAAACTACACACGTTAGATAATAATCCCAGACATATTCATTAATATTTAATAAATAATTATGTGTATAAATAAAAAGAAATAGACAATTTGATCTTGATATGAAATATGTCAATATAGCCTCGAATTCAATATAGTGGTAGATTTTTTTGCAGCAGATTTATTTCTATTTATAGGTTTACTCACTGGTGTGGTATAATCTGCTCCATCCATAGTTCTGCTCTACACATAATGGTGCCCATACGATTTTTATGCCGACTACCTTTAGGAAAATGTACAAAACGAATACTAAGCAGTGGTGTTACCAATGTATGGTATCACAAATCTCGAATGTTAGGCATTGCTACCGTAAGTAGTACTCATCAAATACAACGGTCGTTTTGTTCCGATGTTCAAACACAAAGTAAATACGATAGAGAAGTGAAAACTTCAAACTGGACGTTCCAGAATACTTCAACTTTGCCGCTGACGTGTTGGACAAATGGGCGGAAAGGGAGAAGGTAATTAATTACTGTAGTTGTCAAAGAATTTCTGATTTTGTCACTTCTAGTCTGTTCCTATACACCAATATTTACTAACAGGGAACGGTCGCACATTTTCACAGAAGTCTAATAATACACACAGCTCTCCAGGGAAGGGAATTTCAGGCGATTTTTGTTGTTTTTGTTGCTGTTTTTGTAATTTCTAACCACAGCACTGAGTACCATTCTATAAACGGTGTCATTTCACATGAATCGCTAATTGGGAGGTATGTACGGGTACTTCAAAAATATATCTAGGGAGTAGAGAGGGCAGTCAGGAAGAGAAATCCCTCCTGAAATGAATAACCGTCACCTCCTCTCCCCTCCCTTCCCGCCCCTTAACCGCAACTACTAGAAATACCGAGGTCGATATCGTCCTAATTAGTTGAAGCATACAGCCACTCTCAATACAGGCAATCACAAAATGCAATATAATTGGAAAAGGAAACGGTTTATGTTCCGCCAATGAAATATGTGTTGTTTTAAATGTTGTACAAATTGAGAAGGTGAGTAACATTTTCGCTGTCTGGAACGAGAGCGAGATATATTGTTCTGGAGTTACTGGCAGTTTACCCATATTATATTGTCGTTCGGTTGGGTAAACAGTTTAAACTGTTTAGCTCCATGTCACTGGAGTTAAACAGTGAATTCAGTAGTCTGTATACGATGGCAATGGTAAACCATTCACTGAAGATATCCGTAGCAAACAAAATAAACCAATCATAGATTGGAGATGACATCTCTCAATAATAACCGTGAACTATGCCCTAGGATGTACATATTATTCCAGTAATGGGAATGTGGATTATCATGAAAACAGATTTCACAGCGAAATTTTCGATTCTCTGATTTAATTGTGGGTTATTTTCAGTACCTTCGGTTGATAGTGACTATTAGTCATTTCTGGACACAATGTTTTTTTCAAACTGCAAGTCAGTTACACTTACGCTTTCATATTTGCCATATGCATATGTTTGTAATAACTGCTCATGATACATTCTGATACAATCAAA